GGAAACAGGTCTCTTCCATTGCTTTGCTCTGTTTTTGCAAATAATTGGCAAAGTAAACAAATGACTCCGGAATGTCAAAATCACCAGTACCACTAGTTGAAATTAATTCTATCTTCTCAAATGATGGTTCCTGGTTATATATTTGCACACCCCCAAAAAAATCCCCAAAGAAAATGTGAGCCCATAAAGATAAGAGAACAAAGTCTTGTTTTATGGTTAGCATTTGGAGAAGGAAAGTAACACTTAAATGATTGGTTTATCATTTGAATGATTTTATTTGGCCAGTAGGTTTATGTCATTAATTCCTTTGTTTATTTTAAAGAGAAGGAGAGAGAAAAGAAAAAAATTGATTCATTGTTCCACTCATTTATGTATTCACTGGTTGCTTCTTGCATGTGCCCTGCACAGCCTTGGTGTATAGGGACGATGGACTGACCAACAGAGTCAGTCAGCCAGGGCCTATGTCCTTCTTCTAAGTCCTGTAAACTAACCCATGATTCAAGGACTGTTATCATTCCCACTTAAAACATACACACATACACAGCAACTGAGAAGTTCAGACGCCTGTCTCAGGTTGCACAGCTGGTCAGGCAGATGGGGGTCTTCCTGACCTAAAAGTTCTGTTTCAGTCCCACTCGGCCCCACCAGAGCAGAATGCTCAAGTTCTGTTGTTTTTAAGAAGGGTACAGATGTCCTCTTTCATGGGTATCTGACATGTAACTTCTCACTAAAGTATCTGCTGGATGACCTGGGCAGCCAAGAAGCCAATGTGATGGAGGGAAGTGGACCTAAATTATTCTGAGAAACCAAGGGAAACACTCCCCCTTTGAAATCCAGCATACGCATTGTATAACCAAATGGGGCAGACACAAATCTCTGTTGGCTTGGAGAAATTGGTCATGCGATTGATTGTTCAGTGTTGGTTGGAGAAGGAAAGTCTCCTGTGGAGAAAGTCAGGGCAAGTGCAAAGCCATGAAGCATACTCAATAAGACTCTGGAGTCATAGAGTTGAACTTGAGCGCCTCCCTTCCACTGATGAACAGACTCGGCCCCTCTGAACCTCAACTTCCTCACCTTTAACATGGGGGTTGTGATGAAATAAGATGGCGTATTGATGCCTGAAGTGCAAGTGCTCAAAATATTATCTCTTATTTAGTTTTTTCCTGCCTCTCTCTTTAAAAGTCACAATCCAAAATTCTGTTTTATACAAGAATTATCATAAGGAGAAAAGAAATATAAAAGCCTCTCTCCCAAGCTTGCCTTTGCACACATACACGGGCATCAGCTTCCTGTTGGATTATGTGGGACATGCGTCAGGTGTCCGGGGTGAAGCTTTGGAATATGAGGACAGCTTTGAACATGGCCAAGAGGGGAGACGAGGCCAAGTGAAATTCAGTGACTTTCACCTCAAGTGATGCAGACAGAATAACAAGGAAGAAGGAAGGCATGTTTTACTTGGTGTGTCTCTTTCTCTGGTGGCTTTTGTGTGGCTTCCTTGGAAGGCTTCACCCCAGCATTTTTCAGAAATAGCACAGTTGTTTGGGATGATTACAGGCAATCACCGTTTGCCAGAGAAGGAACTATGTTTAGCTGGCCGACTGGCTGCTCCCCAGTGCTGGCTGGGGAAAGGTACGGCTGGCCTATTGTTTATCACCTCTCAGGTCTTGTAAGATCCAAGGAGAATGGCCTGCGGGCCTTTGGAGAGACTGACCCAAAAAGACGGATTGTGAGGGGTGAACCCAAGCACGCGTTTGGGAATGAGAGTGAGTTTTGACAGTGGAACATAAAATTCATGCAACAGAAAGGCAAACCTAGGAGCAGGCTCACCTGACAGGCGGTGATGGCGCAAATGTCTCTTCAAATCTATGTTCGAAATCAACAAGTATTTAAAAAATCAAAGGAGATCATCTGAGTTTAGAGAAGTGTCTCTGGGAAATCTTGAACCCACACGGTGCAATGAAGTCGCTAGCAGCCGTTGGTGGCAAGGGAACACCTAGAATGGGGCCTGTCCAAGGGTGATGTGTTGTGAAATACCCATCAAAAGCTTAGCGTAAAAAAGTAATGTATCTCATTAATTTCTATGGTGATTATGTGTAGAAGTGATAATATTTTAGATATATGTGTTACATTAAACAACATATATTCTTAAAATTAATTTTACTTGATTCCTTTTGCCTTTTTTAGCGTGGCTACTAGAAAACTTTAAATACACATTTGGCTCACATTACATTCCTATTGAACAGCATTACTTCAGAATTTCATATAGAATTTTAATCCCTGTTCATGACTCCAGTTACTGTTCACTTCCACTTTGCACCCTGGTTATGATGATCTCAGGCTATTGACAGCCAGTCTTACCCAGAACTTTTCTACCCCAGAGCTTTTGCTCCTGGTGTTCACTCCACCTAGGATGCTCGCTCCCCCAGACCTTGTCATGTCTGACTCCGTTTCCGACTTCCTGGTCTTTTCTCAAATGCCCTCCCTCTAGCAGGGGTGTCCAACCCATGGCCTGTGGGCTGCATGTGTCCCAGAATGGCTACGAATGTGGCCCAACACAAAATTGTCAATTTACTTTAAAAACTATGAGATTTTGTTTTGTGATTACATGTCACAATGTATTTAATGTGTGGCCCAAGACAGCTCTTCTTCCAGTGTGGCCCCGAGACATCAGAAGGTTGGACATCCCTGTGAGGTCTGCTCGGACCACAAGGGGAACGCATCAGCCTCTTCTACTGTCTTCACAGCACTTGCTAACATTGCCTGCCTTCCCAACTAGACTATGGGTTCCAGGGGGAAATCCGTTGTGTTCACCTCTCTGTCTCCTGCCCTCGGAACAGTGCCCTGATCACAGCTGGCCCACGATCAGTATGTCCCAAATGACTAAATGCATTGGCCTTACATCTGATGGAGACCAGTCTCTGCTTTCAGGGAGCACAGGACGTAGTGGGTCTGAGGACAAAAATGTCTGCAAATGGATGTGTGCAAATGGGGTCATCCTATCACTGCCGTGAGCCTTTTGTTGCACTTCACTGTGTGTACTACTAAGGAAATAACCCAACAGAGGTCAAAAAACAAGAAAACCTCAAAGCTTAGACTCCCTGTTTCCTGGTAACGGCAGATGGTTGTTGAAAAGGCTGCTCCCGTGTACGCTTCTGTTTTTGAAAACCAGATTAAACATTCCACAGACTGTGATTATGGGCACAATCAGGGCACATATTTCTAGCTGCGGCAATCTCTACATGAAAAGATAGTCTGAGTCCAAAAGGCACATGTTTTCAGAGGCTTTTAAGGGGAGACTGACCTCTTCATACATTACTACATTACAGAGTGGTTTTAGACTGCTGTGTGGGACAGAGGCTCGTTTTTATTTGTATATATCCTATAAATGTGTGTGGGGGAGACGGTGCATTCCAAATGGTTAACCTGGACTAGTTTAGGGTTGTGGAGAAGGGCAGGATAATAAGACACTAAATAAGAAATAAGAAGGGCAGGATAATATAAAAATAAATATTTTCTTCATACATTGTTTTATTTTGTTTCTCCATATTGTTTTATTTTTCACAATGACCATGGATAGATTTGGTACTATTAAAAATGAATCAAGTAGATGTTTAGAAAGAAAATGTAAAGAGAAATGCCAGAAAGCTTCCCTGTGTTTGATTGGAGGTACTTCTCACATCTTGACTTTTTTCCATCTCACTTCTGTGCCTCAGCTACTGACACACAAGCCAGCAACCAGTCTGGGTACCAAAAAATGGAAGACTGGTCTCACTGCTTGAGAATTTGGTTATTTCTTGGCTCCCTGAACACCAACCAAGTGCACTCACATATCACAACTCTCCTGCCATACGGCTTCTTTAATCACTTTAATTGAGAGGGTACCCTTTATTGAGGGCACCTATTATAAATGACATAATTACATTTCTCATTTTGTTTTGTAATCAATTCTTAAAAGGTAAGCATTACTATCATCACTTAGCAGATGTGGAAATTGAAGTTCAGGGAGGTTAGATGAACTGTTCAAGGTCACGGAGCTCCTTAGAGCCAGAGCACAACTTTGAACCTAGCCTTTTCCAAACTTTTGCCCAGTTCATCACCACTTGCTATCTCCTTTTAAGGGGTGAGATATCATGAAGTGTTTTGCAGCTGGTTCCACAGATGAATTAAACTCTATTCTCAATAGAAGCCTAATTCTAGGTGCCTGTGAAAGGCCTCTAATCTCCAAAAGCTTTTCCCTAATTGGCCGTCTTTGGAGCCTGATAGTCCACTAATAGAATCAGTCCTATTGGGTAACATCCCCTGGGACCCACTCTCCAAGGACAAGGACCCTTACAAATGTGTAACATCTAACATCATTATAAATCAGGAAGACCATCATATGAATTAGGTATCAAGGAAATACATCTAACAAGCTTCCCAATGAATGAGACATGGGGCCCGGACAGATTTGAGGGGGTTGTGGAGAAGGGATGGTGATAGAGCTGAGGTAGGAATGAGCCACAGGACTGTCATTGTGGGCCTATGGATAGCTAAGGGACCCAGAGAAGCCAGATACAGAAAAGAAAGGAGCCACTAAAGGTGTAGGTCACCACCATCCAGGTCAGGCCCGGGCTCGATTACTGAGTTAATCAGGCTATGGATAGGCACAAAGCAGAGAAAACTGGCACATGCGTGGCTGTTTCCTACAGCCCGCACTGCGCACCCCAGGTCCAGGTTTTGCAAATGCTGCTGTTTGTCACAAGGGCACTGGAATATAAGACGCCATGGCTCAATGAGGGGAAATCAGTTGCCCCATCAAGAAAATTCAAAAAGTATATTCTCCTAGGAGTCTGCTCAGAGTGTCCTTATCTGCCACTGAGGACCAAGAAGTAGCTTCTGGATCTTTGGGGGCTGGTTTACAAAACTAATGGATCTTATCTAGTGATGGATTTCTGGACATAACCTGGAAAAAAATACTGTCTTCTTCCTTTTTAAATGGGATATGCATTTTCTTCCCACAGAAAAAGCGCACGTTGAAGGGCTCCATTGAACTCTCCAGAATCAAATGTGTTGAGATTGTGAAAAGTGACATTAGCATCCCCTGCCACTATAAATATCCTTTTCAGGTAAGTCCATCGTGCCTGAGGGGACTCGTTCCTCATACCTCCCATGATGGTTGAAATGCTCAGTCATTGTAAGAGAAGGTGAGACAGGGATGACTCTGGTGCAGGGTTAGAAGTTAGCCCAAGACCAAAAGAACACTGCTGTGTTCTTTCAATTACTCATTCACTCATTCATTCAACACAGATTAGCACAAAATCCTGAAAAAGTTGTCATTCCTCGTTCCCCTTTCCCTATGTCTTCCCAATCTCAAGGAAATTCCTCATTACTCTGTTCCAGGCCCGGGGTGGGGGTGGAGGGGGAAGAAAAAAACTACCAAGGGCCCCAAGCCTTTAGGTCTTTAAGTCCAGTTTACTCATGATTTGGGGTGACTGATGGCAACTCTTGGTTAGAAGTTGCCTGGAGGTTCTGGGATTAAAAAGAATCAAATTTTACCATCTGAGAACTATCTGTAATTATACCATTCAGTATAAGAGCCACTAGCCACATGTGAATGCTTAAATTTAAATGTGAATTCACTTAAACAGTATTAGAACTTTAGCTCTGAGTCATATTAAGACACACTGAATGAATGAACATTTCACATGTTCAATAGCCACACATGGCTAGGAGCTACTATGTTGGAGCGCACGGATGACAGAATATTACCATCACTGCAGCAAGTTCTATTGGACAGAGCTGGTGGAGGGCATCTTTGGTTTTTAGGTTGTGACATTGTCTACATCTTATTACCACTCTTGGCACTTGTGCCTCTCAAGCAGTGGGTACCTCCTTGCACATCCTATGGTACCATTCTTGTTTAACAATCTGAGTGTTACAGAAAAAGACTTTTTTCCTACTAGAAAGGTGACTTCCATGGGTTGGAATTTTTAGGGCTGTAAGGAAAAGGAATAACATACATTTTCCTGTCATTAAAATCCCAATTACAAATGAGTGCATGAAAAAAAAACTGGTGAAATCAAAAAAGATCTGTAGTCTAGTTAACAGTATTGGACCAGTGTCAATTTCTTGGTTTTGAAAATGTGCTGTGGTTATGTAAAAGGTTATCATTGGGGAAAGATGGTGAAAAGTACCCAGGAACTCTGTACTATTTTTGGAACTTATTGAGAGTCTTACATTATTTCAAAATTAGAAGTTCTTAAAATCCTAATTATAGCTTACTAATCGCTTACTCTTTTATATGCCAGAAAGTTCCTGTTTTCTAAAAAACTAATGTGAGAAATAAAGGTGCTGTCAAGAGGAGAACTCTTTCGGCTGCTTTAACTTAGTGATGGCTTACTGATGACATTGAACCCGAGACAAGTAGCCTAAGCTGTGAGGTTCAAGCTGTGTCTGCACAGTACCCAAACATCTGGATGAGAAGGATACTGGTCCCCTGATCATCCAGAGTTTGCCTTTTTGACAACAAACACTGAGACCCCCCACTTGGCCCAGTAAACCAGACAGCTTATCAGTCATCCCTCTCTGGGCGCACTGCTCACCTTGAACTCTGTGTGTGTCTCCAGGTTGTGCATGACAACTACCTCCTGTACGTGTTTGCTCCAGACCGTGAGAGCCGGCAGCGCTGGGTGTTGGCCCTTAAGGAAGGTAACTAATCTCCTGTGTGACTGAGTCCCTGAGACCCCTGGGTCCTCTAGTAGCCTTGGGTTCCGCATTAGAATACAGGGCAGCTGATGGTCAAGCATTTCTCCCTTTCGGTGTTAGTAGAAGGTCCCAATCTTTTATTCTGGGCCCGAGAGGTGACAACCAGTACAGGGCAGGGTCAGCCAAATCCAGCCTATCACCTGTTTTTGTAAGGTTCCAAGCTAAGGATGGTTTTTATATCTTTAAATGGTTTCATTTTAAAGGGTTATACAAGTACCTACAAAATATATCGCTTTTGCCTGATGGTGAGAAACCTAAAATACTGACTCTCTGGCGCTTTAAGAAAAAGTTTGTTAACTTCTGGTATGTCGTGAAGGATCTAAGTGTGGACCCTCCAGTTAGATGACCTGCGTTTGGGTCCTGGCTCTGCCACTTACCAGCCGTGTGTGCTTGGGCAACTTCCTCGGCCGTTCTGTGCTTCAGTTTCCCCATCTACTTTTAAAAGGGGGTGTAGGAAGGAATAATAATAGTGCCTGCCTCCAGTACTGCTGTGAGTAAAGCCCTTGGAACTAGCCTGGCCCATCGTCAACACCCAATAAATGTTAACTAGCTGTAAGTGTTTTCAGAGCATCGGTGAGGGTATTTCTTAAGGCTCGCCTTTCTGAAAGTATAATTAAGACCAGCACAGTGTTTAGGTCCCTGGGATGTAGAGCCAGGCTGCTAAGGTGAAAATCCCAGCTTGCCAATGATTAGTATGTGACTGTGAGCCAGTTCCTGGACCTTTCAGTATCTCCATTTCCTCAGCTGTGAATTCTGACTAGTAACACTCATGGGGTTATTGTGAGAACGAAACGGGTTAGGACACCTCACACACATAGGACAACACCAAAAGGAAACAGTCAGTGTGACTCTTAATATTCTTTAGCCTGAAGCCCTGGATTTGCAGGAGAACTGGGTTCCAATACTAATCTGTCTCTAAGTAGCTATGGGGACTCAGGGTAAGCAAGCCATTTGAAATCTCAGAGGTCACAATGCCCCTATCTGAAAAATAAGAATAAAAATGCAAGTCTTAATCAGCTTTCAAATGGCATATGAACAGGCAAGTGCTGGGAAAACTGGAAAGTACTCTCAAGTGTAACAGTCGTGGAACAAACGCTCAAATAGAAGTAATCGCAACACTGAAGTAAACACTAAAGTACAAGTAATCAAAGGGGCTCCAACTATGAGCATTGGCCATTCTCCCTCTGTGAGGGGGCTTTAACTCATGGGATGTTAAAACTAGAGGCATCATTGAAGATAATCTGTCCAGTTGTCTGGCTTTTATACTTGTTTTTTTTCAGCAATAGATTCTTGTTTTTTTCCTACCATAACCGTACTTTAAAGCTACAAACCTAGAAGGGGTAAAAGCAAAGTTGCCATGGTTGGGGGTGGGAGAGATGGAAAGTGGGAATCCCACCTGCTCAGTCTTCCCATTACCCTTAGGCATTTTGTGGGGTCCACTGATCCAATGTAACAGCCTCACTGCACAGAGGGAAACCTGAGGCTCAGATGAGGGTCTTGCCCAATCTAAGGACATGCAACTAGCCCGAGGCCAAGCCAGACAGGAACCCAGATCCACTGATGCCTAAATCCAACATGCATTCCGGTGACTAGCTATAGGCCTGGGGAAAGGCATATGCATCTTTATGACTATTCTGAGCACTGTTCACTCAAACTCACACAGCTGGGTCCAGTCCCAAGGAGTTATCAAGTTGGTGGCCCTCGATAGACTGATCTGGAAATAACTCTTCTGCTGATACCAACCTCTTTCAGAAACAAGGAATAATAACAGTTTGGTGCCCAAGTATCACCCTAATTTCTGGATGGATGGGAGATGGAGGTGCTGTGCTCAGATGGAGAAGCTTGCAGTGGGATGTGCCCAGTACGACCCAACCAAGAATGGTAAGACACCGAGAATTCCCTTTCTTCGTTACAAAATAAATGACCTCTCTAGTAATAGGAAGTAAAAGCTGCCAGCTTCCCATCATCACGGATGTCAGAGATTAAATGCAAAATTCTACATTTCCAGAATTTTCAGAGGGATATCATCTGCCTCCACTACCACTGCCAGTTTGTTGATTTTTCCCCCCATCTCTGTACCTCCTTGCTATTCAGAGGGGGGTCCTTAGACCAGCAGCATCAATATCACCTGAGAGCAAGTTAGAAATGCAAATTCTCTGACCCAATCCCAGGTCTTCTGGATCAGACTTTGTATTTTAACAAGATCCCCAGGAGATCTGTATGCATAATTGTGTCTGAGGAGCACTGCTAAAACTTTCAAGTTTGGAAATTTCAATGGCATGGTCTACTGAAGTCTTAAATTTAGAGACAGCCTTATGAAGTATATTAGCATTTGTTTTTTACATTGTCATCACATCATAGCAATGTTTAATTACATAAGTTTCAACTCTATATACTTGGAGGGGGAAGAAAGTAAAAACAAAACAGCTTATTTTGCTCGGTGGCTTCTCCCCACCTCCCCTTCAAACTTGCCCACAATCTCAGAGAAAAAAGAGGCCACAGCTTACCTGCAAAGTGAAAACAAAAGAAATCGTTTCTTGGCCTTTGAGTTCAAAGGCCCAGGCCCAGGCCCTGGGGATTGGAGTACCACTCAATTCTACCTTATGTGATGACTTTGGGACCTGAACCCACAATGAAAGGCAGCTCCTTCTAGTGCACTTTTATATGCAATATTCTCCCATTTCTCTCAACCATCTGGGGTAGATCATGTGATGTTAAAGGAAGAGAAGGGTAGAGCAGTTTGGTATGTTCAAGGTCACACAGCTGGGAAGTGCTCTCTGCAAAGCCATTGTTGAATAGGGATGACGGATCAATCATGTGGACTGTTTTGCTCCCATTCCCCTCTCCTCTCCACTTCTCTTACCTTAGTTACCTTCTCTCATCTGCCAGTTCCTTTCTGGCACTAAAACCTACTGCCTCAGATTGACAACCCAAGGCGGATGTGCTAAAAGTAACTCATGGCTGGGTTTTCCGTGGCTTCTTGAGTCATAGCTCCTTTCAGTACCACTTTAAAAACCACTACTTCTCACCCTCCACCTTGGAAGAGAAAGTTCAAGGTTACCAGTCCCTTGGCCCAGAACAATACTATGTATATAATTTCAGAAGTCAATGATCCTCTGCATTAGTCCTTTGACCACAGTCGCAAAGATGAGTATGGAATGGACAGGAAATGGAAGGTTTTATATGAGTGGAATCCACCACAATGACAGGGTGGCTTGTGCTGGCCTCGGGGAGTGAAAACCCTTTTTCCAAAGCCAGAAATCTGGTCTCCAAATTCCTGCCAGCACCTTGCTCTGGGCCCTTGGATGAGTCACTTGACCATTAAGGACCCGCACGTCCTCGTCTCTGAAATGGTAAGGGAAGTTTTAGGGACCCTAAGATGAAATACTCACTAAGCCCCCTTCCAGTTTTGAAATTCTTGGAACCTGTGTTTCCATTTGCTGTTTCCACCACGCATGTCCCAGCTGTTCCCCTTCAGGGTTCTCTGTGTTTCTCTCCGCCGAGTGGTGGGCACATGGCTGAGGTGTGAGGACCACCTGAATGACTCACCAGGATGACACTTGGGGAGGCTGGTCACGCTGAGCTTCCCCCCGTGTAAACCCAGGGCCTAACCACTGGACAGTCACTCTGCCAATGGTCCTACTTTTGCATTGCCACCCACGACCATGTCCCCATCTCAGCATGTACTCATTCTCCTCTCTCTGACCTGTTTTAAACAAGCTCGTGCACCGCAGCTCTGGCAGAATGGAGGGCAAAGTGTCTAAGAAACACACCGCACTGTGCGCACGGCCCATGATCATTGGCTCTCGGTGAAGGCTGACAGAATTCTGGTGTTGGGCACACCTAAGGGCAGGGCCCAAGACCACAGATCTTTGGGGTGCAAAGCACTTGGGGTGAGTCCCAGCCCCATCACTTCTTTGCCCAAATACATGAAGTGTGACTTCATATATGTTAACCTATCTGAGTCTCCGAGCCCATTTCCTGGCCAGTAAAATGAGGACAATGATAATAAGTAGCTACTTTGTTGGGTTGTGGTGAGCCTTGGGGTGTGCAAAGTTCTTAGCACAGCTGCTGGCTCTTGCCGAGCTCTCAATAAATGGCAGTTGTGTCTACTGGTCTTTCTTATTTGTGGACAGAAGAATGGGAAGCAGTATGTGTGTGTATGGCTGGGAAGCAGCTGAGGTGATTGAATAGAAAGGCACCCTGCTATACCCAAGTGACAGCAACACTTATTTCTGCAACCAGAACTGACCCTGATCTCACCACAGCCTCACACAGAGGGTGAGGAAGGAAGGGCAGAGCAAGGCCAGAGGAAGAAAGAGACCCGTCACAGAATGTTCAGGGCCAGCAGGGAACAAGGCCACACAACCGGTATGCGGTGCAGCTGGCTCCAAGTTCAGTGTTGAATAGGAATCACACTTCCTATTATGTTGGTTTTCCTTCTGTGAATTGCACTCCCAATGCCCCACCCTGCCCTTGCTCAAGGAGTTAGCACAAGGGCTGGGCTCCAGGGTCCGTGTGAACCTCCTCTCACCACATGCCTGACATGGGCTGTCCAACCTCAAGTCAGCCTCACGCGAACGTGAGGGACTCACCGCCTGCTTCTGCAGCCCTGTCCCTGGTTATCTCTGATCGTTAAAGAAACCTTTGAAGTGAGCAGAAGCCTGTGCAGTGGCCCCCATATGACACCCGGACACCCATGCTTGGTCCATTGATCCCAGGCCTGACCTTTCAGGGTCTCAAAGGAGAGATACTGAGAGACAGAGGTGATGAGATGATAGGAAAGAGAGAGGAAAAAGGAGAGAAAGAAGACGGGCGAAAGGAGGACAGAAGGAGCACAGAGAGGAGTAAGAGAGGGAGACATGGCAACGTGGAAACAAACACAAAGAGGTAAACAGAGAAGGTGTGTCGGCTGTGGTGTTTGGAGGAGGCAACAGGAACACATCTTCAGAGGTGTTAATGTAACTAAAAGTGGATTCCTGCCTCTCAAAGAGCAGCACGGCCACCTCCCCCTCACCCGCCCCCTCCTCAAGCCACAACAGCATCAGGAAGCCAGTGAGTCACGGTCCCCCTGAGTCACCCATTCCCACTCCTGGGTTTAGCAGGTGGCAGGTGCTAGGCTGCTGTGGAAGGCTCCAGACTCTAACCCCCCGTCACAACCTTGGGAGTAGGCTTTGCCCGGGACTACAGCAAATGAGGCCCAGAATATTGGCTTCTGGAAATTCCTGGCGTCTCCTAGAAAATGAAATCGGGAAGCGCGGGCTGAGACAGACACAAGAGAGGTTCTGCCAGGGCCGATACTTGTTTCTCTGGGTCTCACCCTCTCCTCGGGGGGCCCCTTTTCTCCGAAAAGCCCCCTGCCTGCTCACCTCCGGTTGGGGATGTTCGGTTTCAGGCTCATTTTCTTTTTCTGTTTTTCTTGTTTCAGCTTCAAAGAAGCCTCTTCCTCCTACTCCTGAAGACAACAGGGTGAGTGGGAGCGGGGCGCGGGGGCCCACCGCGCGGCACGCTGCTCGACAGGCCTGTGCCCACCTGCACTTTTCCTGCCTGCCTGGATTTCTCCAATCCTTGGCAAATGCAATAAACTGCGGTGATTCAGCTGAACTCAATATATTGGGCCTGGCCAGTTCCTTGGGTCTGTCCACGTAAAAGGACCCTTCAGCGGCTAAGCCTTCACCTCCCTTTATCCACCCAGCAGACACTTACTGGTATCAAATTGTGTGTCCAGGCACCTGACCACTTATAGGCATAAGAGCAGCTCACATCCATGTAAAACTGCATTTTTACTCTACGTAGAGGCACCTTGGAAGCGCACATTGGATAGTTTGTATTTCTCAAAGCACTTCCACACTTTTACTACCTGTTTCAAAACTCCCTATCCGTTCTAGTCACTTCAGAGAGTTGGGGTTTTATTCTCTTTTGAAAGCTTGGGAAATCAAGTCCCAAGAGCGGTTTTGAGACCCTCCCAAGGCCATTCAGCCACTTAGGAGTCAAACTAGTAAGCTGCAGAGTTTTGGGTGGGGCGGTCTCTAATTCAAGGGGTGGTTCTCAAAGTCTAGTCCATGGACCAGCAGCCTCAGCATCACCTGGGAGCTTGTTAGAAATTCAGTGCAGACTCTCAGGCCCCACCCCCGGCCTGCTGCATCCAAAACTCTGGGGAAGGGGCCCTGCAATCTGCATTTTAACAAACCTCCAGGTGATTTTGAGGCACACTGAAGTTTGAGAAACGCTGGCCTAACACACTTGCTTACAAGACCTAGGTGACATCCAGCACTCTGGGGGAGCTATTTAGTCACGAAGAAGAAAAAAAAATAGAAAGATCAGCCCTCCCGTTATGGTCATATCAACACCAAACCACATTTTAGTAACTGCCCTTTAGTTCTAGGACCTGCTGATTCTGCTTCCTCATGCGTCTTCCTGAAGCTTGAGCTCTGCTCTTTCGCCTCCAGCCAGTATGTTGACATGTCAAAAACTGGCAGCTTCCCCGTGAGAGAAGTTTGAAATATCTCAAAATCTCAGGCTGGGTTTTAGATCTGTCATCAGCCTAATCCCCCACGACACGAAACAAGTGTACTTCAGTTGTAGCAGAAAATGAACCCTTGCCCCTCTCCTTTTGTTGATCTTCTAGAGACTGTTTCGCCCTGCCTCTTGAAGACATAGTTCAGAATCTCACCACCATGGCATGCAGACGGCCCCCCACGCCACAGTCTTATCTAAACCCACACCTCTACCTCTTAAGCAAGTTTGTCCTTGTCTTATCTTACTATCAATGAAGGTGAAGGCCAAAAACACTGCCTGCCCATCTCTCTCTGGATTCTGCCATTTGGCTCTTGCAGACTTCTCAAAGGACCAGCAGCCACGCTGTTTCAGCACGCTGACCGCAGGGCCTTTGCAATCGTTCTGCTCTCGACCACACATCTAAATCCATTACAACATCCCTCACCTTGAGCCACTTGAATTTATTTCTCCCTTCACCTTCGTGCTCTGTCCCCTGATGGGTGACAGCATCTTGAATGGGCATCTAGATAATGCTATATTTTTAACCCAGTCTGAGCTAGTAGGCCTGTGTGAGAGGGACCATGGAACAGTCATATCCGTCCTTTATCTTCAGGTGCCTTCAAACAGAGCTCCTTCTTCCATTAGCTCCTAGGGTGAGAGTCTCAGGCCCATCAACTCTTGTTCACAGAACCCAATACACCACCTCACAAGCCCCACAAATGTCTAGGCTTCAAATTCCAATGTGGGCTCAGCTGGGATGACATGCTTCATCAGTATGGCCAGTATTTTTTTTTTTAGCATTCATATTTTTATGCAATCAAATAGTTCAAGTACTCAGAGAGCTTTTGACTTGTCTAGGAACAAATCTCATTCTGCCAGTGATTGCAGTCTCCTTCCTTGTTTATCCTGTCACCAAAATCTGCCACCCCACAGCAGGTGTGCCCATCCTGAATTTTTGCCTTACAGCCTCCTCTCCACATCCCCAATAGCTCATCCAAAGAAAGGTACCGAGGAGTAGAGACATACGCAACAGAGCCCTCAAGAGGAAGGGGGCACCGTGTGCTCTAGTAGAAAGGGCAGTAAGACTAGTTCAAGTGCTAAACTGGGTCACGTCCATTTCTCCTTCTGGGCCTCAGTTTCCCCCCATTATAAACAGAAGAATGAATTAAATGATCTCTCAGAGGAATTCTGGCCTATGATTCTATGGATCTGGACAAACCCACAAATCAAATCAGAAAAGCATGGACTAAATGATTTAGGGTTGACTATATCACCTTCACCAAGAACATGATACTTCAGGCAGAGAGGCTGCAGCGTGTGACATGGTACAAGTGGAGAAATCAGCAGACTCCTGTGATGCGCACGTGGCTGCTTGGAATTTACTTTGGTCAGAATTTACCTCATGGAAGGGGAGGGCTGATGAATTCCAGGTACTGAATGTCTTTGTGTTGCATTCAGCACCATAACCCTAACAGATAAAGAAAGCCACCTAGAGGAAGGCATCTATCTGACAGAATACCCCCGTGGGCTGTGGGAACTAGTGTCTGACCCGGCACCCATCCAGGGGCCAGCTGCAGCTCAGGGACTTGCTGACCTCGCTCTGCAGTTTACGTCCTTTCTACATCTTTGCTTGATTCTGTCATCTCCTTCCTCCAGCGATCACTCCATGAACATGAAGAAACCCTGGTCATTGCCTTGTATGACTACCAAACGAATGATCCTCAGGAACTCACGCTACAGCGCGATGAGGAGTACTACCTGCTGGACAGCTCTGAGATTCACTGGTGGAGAGTTCAGGACAAGAACGGGTAAGGCATCTTTGTGGCTGCTGCCCAGCGTCTGAGGTGAGGTGGGAACAAAGAGAACCCTGGGGCGGTTTGTCCTGCCTTGCTCAGCATGACTACTGACTGCACTGAGTTAGGGGAGGGGAACAGAGGCAGAATGAAAAGGAAGGCAGCACTTGTTGAAGGACATCTTGCCACTTCTCAGATGTGGCTGGGAGGCAGTCACTTGCTATGCTTGCTCCCTGCACCCCACAAGCCGTCTCGGCCCTTAAACTCATCTAAAAATCACCTGGTATTTTCCTACTGACATCCACCATTTGAGGGACTGGCAATTTGTTCCATGAAGAAGCACTGTTGTGCCCAATGGAGAGGCTGTATAAGAAGCAGGTTCCAGGCCACCTGGCTCTGCAGACACCAGAGGACCTTGCTCAGAAATCCATCCTTTCAATCCACTGATACCTATTTAGCACACCTCAGGTGGGGAATTTCTTCCCGTGGTCTCACTTTCCCAAATGACAGTTTACCCTTTGTTCAGTGGCCCATGGAAAGACTCAACTCTGCACTTCAAAGGGCTTTGAAGAGGGCACCCCAGAGGCCAATTGGCATGTGGGAATCCCCCCTGCCCTTTGCTTTGTAACAGTGCCATGCAGTGGAAAGTCCATAGGAGGGCAAGACAGAAGTGCTGGACTTCAGTACCAGCTGCTCTGTTGCTCTGACTAAGGGACTTTGAAAAAGTCCCTTCACCTCCGTGAATGCTTCTCCTTACCTATAAAATGCAGATGATTGTATCAGCTTTGACTATTCCAGAATGTTGAGATGATGAAAGTGAAAGGGCTTCGTAAATGCTACATCCACACTCGGGAGAAGAGAATTACTGTCTTTTGTGTAGCTAACCCAGGCTTGGTTGGCATATTAAAACACGGTTATTCTATTTGAAAGCGAAAATAGTACTTGACCTATTAATACAATTGTAAACATATGGTGTGACAAAACTGATATAATTAAGGGGAATTCCCAAAGACAGGTATAAAAGAACTAGCAAATTTCAGAACAAGTTGACTCCCATCAACTGGCACCGGCTGCAGCGAACACTGTGTTAAGGAGGATTCTGAGGCTGGATGTCCAATTCTCAAAAAAAAAAAAACATGCCATGATTGACCAGCAATATCAGACCTGGGCACAGGAAATGAGATAATCATCCCATATTTGACGTCCCCATTCTTGCTCTCTTTAAACTTCAAAACAATTCTGTGAAATAGAGTACACGTTCTCCATAAACATAATCACTAGCCTGGCAAATGGCAAAACACTTTATGGAGTAAACAGCAGGAAACTGCCAGGCATCCTTTGATAGACTGGCAGGGTGTGGAGGGATTCTGTGTGTGATCTAGTTTAGCTCCCTCGTTATGTGGGTGCGGAGTCAGAGGGCAGGAGGGGGAAGGACAGGCTTCTCACCTTGTGGGATGAAACGCAGCAGTGAATGTGAAAGTGCTTTGAAAAGCACTAACCTACACACAAACATGGCGTGTTTTGATGCTCTTATTAGTCTCTTAATCTTTGGTTAGGCACAATTATTTATCCCTGCTCACAAGAGTCTCCCACTCTTGAATCCAACATGACTTTATCCTTTTTTCTCATGTTTTACGATTTATGTCTGAAGGAGCTCAATGAACCAAAAAATATTCGGGAGGCCTTGAATTAAAACTTACAATGCTGACTGGCACTATCTTTTGGCACCTGTGGTTGGAAAGTAATTTTTTTAATACTTTAATTATTGGGGTTTCCTGACTATAAAATAGTAGCATTAAAGTGGAAAAAGTAGTGATTGTCACACTCAGAAAAATGTTTCCTTATAGAAAATAGAGACTGCACATTGATCTTTTTTTTTTTTCCAGTAGAGGAAGGTTCACAATGAGGACAATAGCAAGCAGCACTTTTTAAGCAAAATAGCCAGGTCTTATTTATGATGGCTCCTGTTTTAGTAGTGAAGCTTTTGCCTTTAACAGATAAGAGGTTGCTGTTATTTTTAGCAAGGCTTTTATTCTGAAACTTTAAAATGTCTTATCAGGAATGACAAATAACGTGAGGCTCTCTCATCTGTAAGTGACTTCGGTGATCTCAACTTATAAAACGGAGATGTGAAAATGCATCCTATACTGGTCTAAACAATGACTTCCCTTCTAACAGGCATGAAGGATATGTGCCCAGCAGCTATCTGGTGGAAAAGTCTGCAAATAACCTGGAAACCTATGAGTAAGATATTGTATTTATTTTACAAAAATATGGTACTAAGGAGCCCTCCTTAGATTAGAAATAAAGTACTGGTTGATTATAACATTACCAGGCATTTTCTCTTCCCCCCATACTCTGATCCCTAAATAACGGCAAAGGAGCACTTCAAATAGGAGGAGGGGGAGGGTATGTGTACTCACCTGCCCTTTTATCAAGAGGATGTTTCTCAGGTACCTGTGCAGATTGTAGCAAAGGGAAAGGTTCCTCTGGGAGCCCTGGGAATGTTGATCTTAAATGAGAAGGAAAAAAAATACCATGAACACTGGATCAAACACAAACGGACTTAAACATGGGTTAGTGTGTCCAATTCCAAAACAGCAGACAAATAGGTATTAAATATCTGCTAGTTTGTGTTGTTTATTTCAAGCTACCATTTAGAAGCGTTTACGCAGGTATAATTTTAATGGAACTACTTAAAGTTTAATAAAATAAAATCGTAGTGTACAGAGTACTCACCATGTATACAGATTTCCTAGGTTAGCTGCTGAAAGACCCAGAAGCAATAACAGCCCAGTAGCCGTGTGTATACCCGGATGTTGGTTTCTAAGCGACACTTCCCACTATAAAGATCAGGAGTTCTTGGAGAAATGGTTTGGGGATTCAGAGGTGGGGCGGGGGAAGAACAAGATGAACTTGGAACATCTTACTGCACCAAAAAGTAAAGAAGTACCTACCAACTTTTAAAGTGATGTTGGCATGTCAAACAAGCACAGAATTCAGCCTTAATATGTTCCTTCTCACCAAATCTGGGACAATTTGAGTATTAAAATAAGTGATCATAATTATTCAATGGACTACAATCCATTGAATAAAATAAGAATCCACCAGAAATAGATAGCTTGATAGGTAAGTGAATAAGAAGAAAAATAAATAAAGGAGAAGAGAAAGTTCTTTCTTACAATAGAATTTCAACTAAAAAATGTAGAAGGAATGATAAAGTTTAAAAAAAATCAATATTTTGTAACTCAAAGTACCAACTGATTCAGGCAAGAATCCACCAATGAATATCACAACTAGGGGGTGAACATTTGATATTTACATAGTCTCAAAGTATCTTCTGATCAATCACTTATTAACAAGAAAATGGAAATACCTGGGAGATCGCATCTTAACCCAATGATCAATAATGCAACAGACAGACACTGTGTGTCTCCTGATGTGATGCATGGAGGACATGACATCACTTTCATGAAATTCCTGCTCAAATGTGTATAATCTCAGGAAATCTCAGTAGTGAGGAAATGGGAGACAAATCCAAAGTGAGGCGTGTTTCATAAAATAATTGGCCTGTGCTCTCAAACATGCGAATATCATGGAATATAAGAACAACTGGGAAATCGGTCCACGTTAAAGGAGACTAAAGAGACATGGTAACTAAATGCCCTAGTAATCCTGGATTGGATCTCAAATCATTAAAAAAATATATAGTTGTAATATTTATTATTGGGACAATTGATGAAAGTTGAACAAGGTCTTAAGTATTGCATCCATGTTAAATTTTCCGATTTGGATCATTGTATTATGGTTATATAAGTGTATACTCTATTTCTTCAAAGTACATACTGAAGTCCTTAGAAATAAAAGTCTAATTTCAAATGGTTCATAAAAATATATATATTTATCTATCCAGAGAGAATCATAAAGCAAATGTAAGCGATTGGTTTACCTGGGTGAAGTGTATATGGGAGTTCCGTTATAGTACCTTACAACTTTTCTCTACATTTGAAATTACTTAAAGATAATTTTTTAAGTCATTACCAAATATATGATACTACGGTTGAAGAATACTAGCTATGAGGACTTCTATAAATTCATGTGAGTCCTTATTAGTTCAAATATGGTCAAGTTATTTGGTAATGAGATTTGAAAACATTCCATAGTGAAAAGCTATCATTTATCTCCTGAAGAATCTCTCAACCTGAGATTCGTTTTGATGAAGTATGTGTGAGTAGCCCCTGCCCCCAGCTAAAAGAGTCAACAGTTCCAAGAATCTTTGAGCTGCGGTACTTAAATAGAATTCTTTTTCTTCCTTTATAGTCAATGCCTATAGAAAAAGAAATAGGCATGTATTTCAAATGCTCATCAGGCTGGGAAATTTTGTTTGTTTTTGTATTTCATTAGATGTGACAGAGGAGACAAACCCAAATTTCCAACTGCTTATAAACAATAGGGAATGGTAGAGCCTGGGGCAAATAAAAAAATATATATATTCCCCCTCCTGAAAGGATTTCTGGCATTAATTATCTTTCATAAGTAAATCACAAAAGAAATGTTTAAATGGACATTATGACTTTTTTTCTGCTTTCAGGTGGTACAATAAGAGTATCAGCCGAGACAAAGCTGAGAAACTCCTTTTGGACACAGTAAGTCTCTACATTGTGCTGTTGTTTTTCAGCCACACTGTGGTTTATGCCAATGCGTGAATCAATATATTGGATTAACAGTGGTTTTCAGGTCTGGTAAAAAATATTCTGGGGATTTACAGGACAAGCATGCAACAGGGTAAGAGCTCTGGGAAGGGTCTGAGGCCTTGGCCTTGGCCGGCAGCTGTAGCCGCAGGTGTGACGATGTCTCAGCTGTGAAGGCTGTCACCAGGGAGCCCTGGAGCTGTCCTAGCCACCTGCTTCTCTGTCTGGGGGAAGGGAGGCTGTGACTCAGCTTCTGCCTGCTGGAACCGTGGGCGCAGAGGAAATACACCACGGTTTTAACTCATTTTTTATGCACCGGTTCTCCAGAGCCATGCAGTGTGAGTGGCAGCCCTGATCTTAGCAGGGATATCTAGATTAAGGGACAGAGGCATGAGAAGAGAGAAAGCATGGTGTGGTGGAAAAAGTACTGGGTCCCGGCCCCTGCTCTGTCACTAGCTCAGTGTGTGACTTTGGGGGCGTCTCATCTGTCTTCGGGGCCTCAGTTTCTCAGTGACAGGGAGATGAGCATTGGACTAAATCAATTAGTTTATCAGCATATATGCCTAGAGGAGTGGCTCTGCACATTAGAAGCACCTGGGACACATTTTTAAAACCAGTGCCCAGGCCAATCTCCAGATTCATTAAGTCAGTCTCTCCAGGATTGGAAGGATCCAGGCATGAGTAACTTAGATAAAAATCTCTCCAGCCGAGTCTAATATTCAGATGATATTGGTGGCCAGGGCCCAACACTAGCCTTACCAGGGAGACTTATAAACAGTTGGTAGGAGTTCCCGAAGGCATTGGTCTCCTTGTGCCAATAGTCAACACTGCCCCTGTCACTTCCCCGTATACCATCCTGCAGTTATGATTTGAAAGTATTTTCTATCTTTAAGAATCTTAAACTGCAAATGTCTCCTGGTGGAATGAAGCTGGAGTGACCAACTCATCCCAGTTTGCCTGGGACGGTTCTACTGTTAACACGGAGATTCCTGTGTCCCAGGAGCACCCCCCACCCTGAGCCAGTCCCTGGCAAACCGGCCGGTTGGCCACCCCAGCCATCCATGATTTTGGACGGTGGTCAGGAGTCAGTCTTGGAGAAGGAAACCTGGAAAGATATCAGGAAGCACATGAAAGGCTGTGATTGGAAGGGGTGATGAATATTCTCAAGGAGTAATTTAAAGACAGAGTTCATTATTAATATCTATTTACTTTTGCACAAGAAGAACTAACAGAATGATTCATTCTATCAGAGGCAAAAAACATATGACATCTGTAGGAGGACAATGGGAGGGGAGAAGGAAAATCCACAGTCCTATTCAGGAGCAGTGAGCCTTATTTTTCTTCTTTGGGGAAGTTGCTAACAGCAGGCAGCTGACAAAGAACAGGGAAGATGTGTTGCCCTTGGGCAACGGGTCTTCATCGAGGAGGGCAAGCCTAGCTGTTTGTGGATTCTCCGAAAGACTGCGCGCCTACTGGTGACTATGAGCACAGGCCACCTGTTATGCCCGCTGTCTCAATTATTGCTTGTCTCAGTTACAGTACATTTGCACCATTTCCTTTATTAGGACTTCTCAGTATAAACTTGGGGAACTTACCCTTTTGCTGAGCACAGGACTAAGGACTTAGGCGTGCTTGAGACAGGATCTTTGAACTCAGTGAGCTTTAGACTCTATTGGGAAACAAAACAAACTCTGCAGAAAGACTGAGAGGATAATCTAAGGCAAACTGGGAGCACATGAGGCAGGCTTTCGGTGGCCTGTGAGCTCAGGGAAGATGCTAGCGGAGTTGGACCGACTTTGTGGAAAAGAGGAATGGAGCTGAGTCATGCCTGGACTCTGGTGCCCGCTTGCTTCCGCGCTGACTTAGCGTTTCCTCTTTTCCTGTGGCTCTCCAGAGAACCACTGGGAAACTTTTTAGAATGCAGATTCCCAGGGCCCACCCCAGACCAACCGATCAGGATCTCCGTGCTGAGTTTCTGGGAATCTGTATTTTTTTTTCAAGTCAAACTTGAGTTGCATGCATACCCAGCTCCGCACCTAGATCCCCCAACCTCTGTGACTGGATCATATAATAAAACTTGACCAGTTGAGAGGAATGCCAAATTCTTTAAACACCTGGATTACACTAAGTTTAAACAAGTGCAGTTTTGTTATTTTCAATCACACCTTGGTTCATGAAGTGTTGCCCATGTACACTTATAAGAGCCCACAATACAGTTCCTTGAAGGGACTTAAATATATACATTCCAATTGCCCTGATGGTTGACACATTCCTCCTTACTAACACTCTGAACTACTTGACCAAATCCTCTTTGCCTCCTAAGGTAATGCAAGGGCAAACTTCAGTGGGTCCCTGTGTTACATGTTGTTTAAAACAACAGCTGAATTGTTTCATTGGTGTCTCCTTACCTAACAAGTATAGGACCATTAAGACATGGATTGACTCATGGCAATGAACCGATAATGGATTTATTTCATTTTTATTAACAAAAGCTCCTGATGTACTGCCCTGTACACTTTTCTCCACTTTGACAGAAACCCTTTATCATGTACCTGCTATACCTAGGAACCCAAAACTGTGCCTATGACAAAGTACATCAAATGCTTAATAAGTGGTTTTAAATTAACAACTGTGCTTAAGGAGAACCTGGCTGATCGTGAGCATTATTGGGGGAGCTTTTTAAAAATATAAATTCCAATTCTCCAGCCCTCACCAATCAGAACCTCTGGAGGTGGCATCAGGTGATTCTGGGACCTGCCCGAACTTGGGAACCACAGAACAGCATTTCATATGGTGTCCTATCAAGTCCTCAGATAACACCTCCTCCTCCAAGAAGCTGCACATGCTTTTCCTCTCCCTTTGACTCCATATGGTGTGATGTTGTTACTTCTCCAGTGGCACTGTTCTCACTCTGCCTTGGGCCCCGGGCGTTTGTCTTCTGTCTAAACCCGTTTTGCAGAGGGTAAACTCCTTGCAAGCAGGCCCTCTGTGCCTTCCAGCATTGCATGCTGGGCGGCCTGAATTTCGGGCAGGAGCTTCATCTTGCACATCGATTATCTTATTTCCATGCTTCTAAGTTGTCATTAAAGATGCAATATTGACTTATGAATGGGTATGTTTCAAGAGAAGAAAAGAACCAGCTCTAGAATAAAGAGTGCTTATGTGTCAGACCCTCTTAGACTATAACGCGGCATGACAAGGCTATGAATTATCCCTCCATCTCTTTTTGCAATCACCTAACCTATGTGTCAAGATTATCTTCTGTAAGGTCACCTTCAAATCATATGGACAGAAAGAAAGAAAGATCATTCTAACCCAGTCAACCTGTCTCATATGAAAGCATGCATTAATACATCCAACAGATGGTAACTCATAGCACGTGGTGATAATGGCCATGATGGTGCCAATAATCCTCCTGTGGGTATCATATTCCAGGAACTGTTCTCAGCACCTTACATTAATTCTCCCAGCAATCTTACAAAGATCATTTTACAGCCAAGAAAACTGAAGCTCATACATGTAATCAGGAAATATCTAGAATTCACAGAATTATAGACCACTAGAATAAGAATTCCCTTTAAAAACATCTGCATTATCCCTTTTGTGTGGCAGGCGAGTACACTGGAGCCAAGTTCAGAGTGTGAGTCAGTGGCATGGTGCGGACTAGTGCAGGGGTGCTTCTTACACACACATGCACGCATGCACACACACACACAGTTCACAAGAGGATATCAGAGTTAAGTTCTGCTCTCCCATCCCTGTATTTCTTATCCATGCATTTCACCTCCTTGGAAAGATTTTTTTTCTCTTGTTACCTGTTTACTTATTTTTTCCAGATAGAGTATAAAAGGTATATGGAGACCTTGAAAATCCCATGGGAGTCCCATGGGAGCGAGGCTCCCCACCCCGCCTGCCCGGGCTGCATTGCCTGGTTAGTGCCTCTGGTGTGGTGGTGATGTGAGCACAGACCTGTCAGGCCCCTGTGGTCTTGGCGGCTGTGACTTCCTCTGAGCCCTTTTCAGGAAGTAGGGGGTATAGCATGTGCTGGATGCCTCATTTCCTTCAGTACTCGAGGCCACCTCAGCCCCAAAGCAGTTTCCTGTCATCATCACTGACTGCTGCCTAGGGCAACCACCACGGAGGGAGAGCTTGGAACCTCCTCCTGTGCTCGGAGGAGCCGACTGCAAGCCTCCCCTCTCCTTCCTTCCTTCCTCCCCTCTCCTTCCTTCCACAGAAATCTCATGTCTGTGGATCGTTCTTGTTAACAGTGGAACCCCGCTGTGATGTCCAATTTTTGTCCAAAAAGTAAATGGCTTCTTTGAAAGAATACCAACAGAAAATGTTCTTAATCAAATAGAAGAGATGTTCCCACTTCTCTCTTCACAAGACAGTTGGTAATTTTCTGGTCTTTTTTTTTTTTTTTTTGATGTACGTTTCTTCCCCTTTAGAATAAGTTACATACACAGATAGAGTCACCTCTTCCTGCCTTGAGTTTAACCCATCATATTTCAATGAGACGAGAGCAAAAGCTTCAGTATTTGGCAAAAGGAGAAATTTTGGAGATAATCTATGCTATATGTAATGCGTGGATGAACATTACAAACATGGTGAGAGATAAAATTGACATCTAACAATGTAGAAACTTAAGGGCCACGACACGATGATTTGATAGATGTGTAAATTGCAAACTGATCATCACAATTACTTAACACCCATCACCACGCATAGTTACAAGATTTTCTTCTCATAACTTTTCAGATCTACTCTCGGCAACTTTCTAATACACCATAGACTCTGTGAAACACACAGTTCAGTATCATTAACTGCAGTCACCATGCTGCCCATTATATCCCCGTGACTTCTTTGTCTTGTCACCGTAAATTTGTGCCTTTTGACCTCCTTCATCCAATTCCCCCACTCTCCAGCTCCCCTCTCAAATTTCAAAAGAGACTTTTGAAACTCCCAGCAGAGATAAGAGTTTGGGGAGTTTCACAAAGTTTATGTGGTAAACTGTGTTTGGCAAGAATGAACAATATTGTAAGGGCCAATCATCCCCACCCACACGCACACAGTCACACACACACACACACACACATCCTGCAGGTTCAGGGCCAAGTTAGAGGAAGCAGGTATGTGTCTGTGCAAGGTGAGCTTCCTTACTATGAGTGCTGTTTTGTGAGATAGAGACCATCCATCAGGACTGTTATAAAGAAGAGCTACGTGTTTAGCTGAGTGGGTGAAGATCAAACTTGAATGTCTGTAGGGATCACATGGCCAGCTTTTGAAAAAGTTCAGGCATCAAGAGCCCCAGTCCTGGAGAGTCTAGTGCGTGGATATGGGGTGGAGCGTGGTCAGCTGCTTGCTGTCGCTATTTTGTTTTGCCCGGGTAAATGTGATCATCAGCCATGTTTGGGACACAGGGGTTTAGGTAGTGAGGCCGGATTAGTCGTTCTCGACCAGAGGTGATTTTGTCCACCAGGGAACACTCGCTCATGCCTGTCACCCAGTTGTTACAGACCAGGGATGGTGCTAAACATCCTGCAAAACCTCCTACCACACAGAATTACGGGGCCCCAAATGTCAACGGTGCTGAGGTTGGGATAAGCCTGCACTAGATAACCTCCCTATGGCCCTCTCTAACCCCAAGATTCCAGGACTCAAACACTCAGCATGGCCATCTATGGGTATTATTTGTATGTGTAGACAACCCATCTTTGGGGCTGGGGGGTGGAGGAGCCAGTGTTGCTCAGAATCGCATGTACTCTGCTCCACCTGCTACAAGTGTGGGCCCACCACACAAGGCTTCTGGCTCCGCTGGCCTTGACAGAAGGACCACACCATGTCTACATTCAATAAATCAACTAATAGGTTTTGCAAATATTACCAACAGAGATTTACCGCTGGGTGGGATCAGAGCATTAGAAAGGAAGGACTCAAAACAGAATTAAGATTTTAAAGTTCCCACCAGGAATGAGTAAACTGGTATATTCATTTGCTTATACTGATTTTATCAGTGCTAGCAAAATTGTCAGAGGGGAATGAGGGGTGCATATCTGGGTCTTTCCCTTCTCTCCACTTCTCTCATGCAACCAGGAGCTTCATGTTTTTCTCCTTTTGTCCTACAGCAAAGTCAGCACTGACTTTGAAAAGGGCCTAAAAATACTTTTTCATTAAGGAACTGATGGAGCTTCCAGGACAGAAAGCTTATGCCCTTGTAGGGGAATGGAGGTGTGGCTTCTAACATTTGTTGAAGGGAGGCATCACGGAGTAGTAGAATGAGCATCACTTTGCTTACAGGCCAAGTTCAAGGTTCAAATTCCAGGTCGCCCACTTAATGGTTGTGGGTCAGGAGAAAGTCACTTCAGCTCTCTGGCACTCAGTATTCTCATCAGGAAATGGAAGATAGAGACATCTAGACTGCAGTGTCCTGGTGAGAGTGGGACAATATCTGTCATAAATCTGGAACTTGGTGAGCTCCAAGAGGGCAGAGCTTGTGTCTGTTTGTCTTCATTACTACTTCTGTCACCACCAGAACAGTTTCTGGCCCAGGGTGAGAGCCTGAGAGATATCTGTTGAGTGAATATGCACACTGGTGGCCACTATTGCTGAAAGCCTGCTCTATACCAAACTGGCCTACAGAATTCCCCCTGTTCACAAGCAGGAAAGTTCACGAGCTGGGTACATGAGCCTGGTTTTCTGGGGTCACTAAGCCTCCATTCTTTCTAACCATTCCAGGGCAAAGAAGGAGCCTTCATGGTACGAGACTCCAGGACTCCAGGAACATACACCTTGTCTGTGTTCACCAAGGCCATCGTAAGGTATGGTGCTGACTCGCTCGTCAGCATGGGGCGAGACAGTCCTGGAGGGGGCAGGGAAGGAGGCGCACACAGCAACGTCAGGCAGAGCAAGAGGTCGAGGGGTCACTGGGAATGGTGTGCTTTCCCTGATCCCACCAAGAAGGTCAAGGCCAGAGAGATAGAGGATATAACTGTGGTCCCTTAGCTGGCAAATGACAGAGCTGGGACTAGAGGCCAGGTTCTTTTCCCGGTTAGCACCCCCCAGTGCAGAGCTGTAAGGAACTGAAGTACCTGGCTCTGTATTTGATGAGCTTATAATTAATTACACAGAATAATAAAAAGGTACTTCTGAATATTAAAAAGGAAGTGAGAAGATAGGAATTCCAGTTCTGGCTCTGCTAATAAAGCCACCTACCTACCATTTACTGAGTCCTTACTATGTGCCAGAACTTTACAAACCATTTCCAATTCTAATAAGCCCTGAAGGCAGGCATTACTATGCTTCTTTCACAAACAAGAAACTGAGGCTCAAAGAATGGCTGGTACCTGTCTGAGGCAGTGGAGATGCACCGGTCCAGCCCCTTCATGTTGCCTCCAGCTGCCGACGAGGCCCTCACTGCACGTTCGCCCCTCTTAGGACCATAAAACGATGTCAAATTCTCTTCTAATTAGAAAAGTGAGGAAGAGTAAGATGTTTGTCAGTGATCAAAGTGAAGGAAGAATTAAGAGGAGAGAGTAAAGTAACTATTAAGGGTCTTTGGGAGGACGGAGGATGTGAACGAGACTCAGAGCAAGAGCCAGGGTTGAGAGAGGTGATGAAGGGGAAGGGTGCTGCTGGGGGATGGGAGTGTGCCGCGCACATCACAGCGATGAGAGTGATCTGCCACTCCAGAAGACAGGACGGAGAAGCGAGAAGGCTGTGTGGGGTCCCCAAGATCACCCCCAGGCTTGGTGACTCAGTGGGAAGACTCACGGGATTCGGCATACGGTTATACTCAAGGTTAAGATTTACCACAGCGAAAGGAATCAAAGCAAAATCAGCAAAGTAAAAAGGCTCATGGGGCAAAATCCAGAGAAAAGCACACACAAGATTCCAAGAGTCCTCTCTCAGCAGGGTCACCCGGGACAAGCTGGATTCCTCCAGTAGCCAGTTGTGACGACAGGGGCAGAGAGGCGTCTACTGAGGGAGCTCATGGGAGACTCGGTGCCCAAGGTTTCCGCGGGGGCTGGCCACATAGGCAGCCTCTGCCCAACGCAGAGCAAAATTCTGGGCTCCCAGAAGAAAAGCCGGCAGTGGGCAGAACCACATTGTTATACAAACAGTGTAGGCCTGGGGAACCACCCACATTAGTTAGAGCACGGCGAGAATCCTCCCCAACCCCAGGTTCTCAGACACCAGCCGCGAGGCCTGCCTGGCAAGCAGGCCTTTCTAAGGACAGCAGTCAGGGCTGCCATGTTAACTCTGCTGTACACATCAAATTAGTGCAAAGGGGCCTCAGATGCTTCCTTAACATACGCTGATAATTAGTGAGATTCACAGAGCAGGGAAGGCAAACACGCAGCCCGTATGAGACCACTCCCCACTTTGTGGCTGTGGAAGCAACACCACGGCACTGACTCTACTTGGGTCCCCACGCAGCCCCCGAGTCCTCCATACAGCACCCAGGGCAACCTGTCCACACGGGCACAGGCTGAAATATATCGGTCGTCCTTGGGAGGGTGAAAAGCAAAGCTAGTAGGAATCCGATACCAGTCAATGTTTTTGTGTCTAAACGCTGATTCTTAATCACTGCATTTGTGTTTTATGTGTTTAAGTGAGAACAACCCCTGTATAAAGCACTATCACATCAAAGAAACAAATGACAACCCCAAGCGATACTACGTGGCCGAGAAGTATGTGTTCGATTCCATCCCTCTCCTCATCAATTATCACCAGCACAACGGAGGAGGTGAGTGCTAAAGGACAAGGCAGGGACCCTCACAGAAAAATGACAAGCATCTAGCCTGGTGTCTTTATGGCAGATGAGCTGACCTTAAGTATTAATTAAATATACAAATAGAGAAGGATGCCGAGTATTGGATTATAGTACGTATTTTCCATTAGCAAATTCTGCTGTTGGAAGCGTGGGATTTCACCACCTGTGTTTCTGAGTGTTCTCTGAAGGTATAAGATCAGTGATTGGGCTTTGGGTTTTATTTCTTCCTGGTGGTTTATCTAGGACGGTGCGCAACGTAAGGCTCTAACCACAGCCTTTTGTTTTTGAATCGATCCAGGCCTGGTCTCTCGGCTTCGCTACCCGGTTTGCTCCTGGAGGCAGAAAGCCCCGGTCACGGCAGGGCTGAGATACGGTGAGCAGCATGTTCAGGAATGTTAGACGTTTGCACTAAAACCCACATCCCTCGAGGTCTGGGACAAATCTGAATGGACTTTCCGTGAACCTAACTCTTCCCCAGACCTAAAATGACCATTGGAACAGGTGCACTGTGTATGTGGACATGGTGTGCACAAACCCACACTTATGTGTGTGAGTAAGAGTTATCTATAGGACAACCTTTATCTTGGCCAAATCAATGTCCACTGGTTTTAGTTAAGAGTTCATCAGTGAAGTGTTTATTGAGTATCTACTTTGTATGGAGCACTCTACTAAATGCTACTGGAAAAATACTAGGTAACAATACCTTAGTACTATGTCCTCACCCTTTTTTCTAGAAGTTTGTATTGTCTAATTTGTCACGTATGGGTTCGTTGCAAGGGCTGTAAGCTGGCTGCATCCGTGTTTCTTTGCACAGTGTGAAAATTTTTTTGAACACCATTAGGAAGGGCATGAAGCTCCTGTGCCACAGGCCCTACTATTCCCTCTTGTCCTGACGGACTGCTTCAGCCACTTGTGATATCCACCTGGAACTCAAAGGCAATGAGTTGGCATCCCCTTGTCCAAACTGAGCTGTTTGAAAAGACTGTAATTTTCATTTGGTATCTCCCCCATTAGCTGTTCTCACACCTCACTGTGCATCTGAGTCATGTGGGATGCTTACTCAAAATGCTCACTCCCAGGACTTCTGGCCAAGATGGAAGTGTAGGTAGATACATTGTGCCTCCTCACACAAACAAAAGAAGGACAACGACAATTTAGAAAACAAACAAAAAAAAAACAGAACTGACAGAAAATCAAACTGTACTGAACTCTGACAACGAAGGAGTTAAAGAAGAAATACTCACCCAGACCGGTAGGAGGGGTGGAGATAGGCAGCCTGGGTGGAGAGGACTTGTGGCTAGGCAGTGGCTGGCGGACTGGGCAGTCCCACATTCTCGTGCAGACAAACCTGGAGGAACCACTGGGGAGTGAGACAGGCCTCACAACCCAGGGTTCCAGCATGGGGAAATAAAGCCTCAAAACCTCTGAATGAAAAAGCTGTGGGGGTTGAAACAGCAGTGGGAGAAACTCCCAGCCTCACAGAAGAGTTACTGGAGAGACCCACAAGGTCCTAGAATGTACACAGACCCACCCACCAGGGAGTCAGCACCAGAAGGGCCCAATTTGCTTGGGGGTAGCAGGGAAGTGACTGAAAATCAGCCGAGAGCAGAGCAAGCAGCATTGTTTTCTCTCGGACCCCTCCCCCACCTACGAAGTCACAACACAGCACTGTGGGTTGCCCCGCCCTGGTGCACACCTAAGGCTCCACCCCTAACTAGGGAACAGGACAAAAAAAAATGGCCCAAATGAAAGAACAAAGCTCCAAAAATAGAACTAAGTGATGAAGGGATAGCCAACCTATCAGATACACAGCTCAAAACACTGGTAATCAGGATGCTCACAGAATTGATTGAGTATGGTCACAAAATAGAGGAAAAAGTGAAGGCTATGAAAAGTGAAATAAAGGAAAATGTACAGGGAACCAACAGTGATGGGAAGGAAACTGGGACTCAAATCAACGGTTTGGACCAGAAGGAAGAAGTAAACATTTAACCAGAGCAGAATGAAGAAACAAGAATTCAAAAAAATGAAGAGAGGTTTAAGAACCTCTGGAACAACTTTAAATGTTCCAACAACCAAATCATAGGGGTGTCAGGAAGAGAAGAGGAAGAGCAACAAATTGAAAACTTATTTGAACAAATAATGAAGGAGAACTTCCCCAATCTGGCAAAGGAAATAGACTTCCAGGAAGTCCAGGAAGCCCAGAAAGTCCCAAAGAAGTTGGACCCAAGGAAGCACACACCAAGGCACATCATAATTACACTATCCAAATTAAAGATAAGGAAAGAATATTAAAAGCAGCAAGAGAAAAGGAGAAGTTACCTACAGAGTTCCCCTTAGACTATCAGCTGATTTCTCAAAAGAAATCTTGCAGGTAAGAAGAGGCTGGAAAGAAGTATTCAGAGCCATGAAAGGCAAGGACCTACATCCAAGACTGCTCTATCCAGCAGAGCTGTTCTTTAGAATGGAAAGGCAGATAAAGGGCTTCCCAGATAAGGTCAAGTTAAAGGAGTTATTCATCACCAAGCCCTTATTATATGAGATGTTAAAGGGATTTATCTAAGAAAAAGAAGATGATAAAAAATATGAACAGTAAAATGACAACAAACTCACAACTATCAACAACTGAACCTAAAAAAACAAAAACATACTAAGCAAAGAAGTAGAACAAGAACAGAATCACAGAAATGGAGATCGCATGGAGGGTTATCAGCGGGGAGGTGGAGGGGGGAGAATGGGGGAAAAGGTACAGAGAATAAGTAGTATAAATGGTAGGTACAAAATAGACAGGGGGAGGTTAAGAATAGTATAGGAAATATAGAAGCCAAAGAACTTATATGTATGACCCATGAACATGAACTAAGGGGGGGAATGAGGGTGGGAGGGGGGTGCAAGGCAGAAAGGAATAAAGGGGGAAAAATAGGACAACTGTAATAGCATAATCAATAAAATGTATTTTTAAAAAATGTTGCCTCCTGGACCCTCCCCAACACTTACCAAAATGTTCCCTGATAGAGGGGCCCTGTAGCCAGCATTTTAAACAAGTGCCCAAGGTGATTTTGACCCAGGTGGCTAGAAGGTAATTCTTTACTTACTACGAGCTCCCATTCCTAAGGAGCGTCATATCTGATACACAGTAGGTACGCAGAACTGTTCTCTGTTGAGTCTCTGCTTCAGAGGTAGACATCAAACTGTGATTCTAGACCAAGTGTCAGGATAGGCACACGCCTCTTTAGTCTCTTTATGAAAATAAAGTTATTCTAATAACTATAAAATGCCAATGTATCCATGCTGGATGGGATGTCAGAGATTAGTTATAACCCCACTCATCGGTGTCAGTGTGGAAATTGAGACTCAGATCCCTTTTATTTGTTTATTGAACATTTACTGAGAGCCTACCACGCACCAGACACTATACTGGCTGGCCCCTCTCCCCCAGTCCTTTTAAATCCAATTCCTTAGCCCCCACCCCTGCTAAGGCCTAGCAGAGTGCTGTGTACATAGTGGGTGCTCTTGATGGTTAAATGAATGAATGCACAATCGACTTAAATAAAATTTGCTCTGCGTGAAAAACAACAATAATACATTTTCAACCAGGTGGAGAAAATGGTTGGGACCTTACAAGAACCCTTTCATTTACTTTCTTTAATATCTTGTTTAATGCCATTCTCCTCCCTCTTTCCGGGTAATCTCCCCCACATACATTTTTCATGGTTTAAATGCATATCCTATGTTGTTATTTGGAAAAAAGATAACAATTGTATCTATCTGTGATAGTTCTAAATCTAGGACTTAACAACATTTGCCATTTGGGGGTTATACTGACGATAGGCTAACATTCTGTGCAGGGCTGTACAATCCCCTGGTAGCCCTATCCCTCATATGCATTGCTTACCAACCCTGGCAAACCCTCTGTTTCCTCCAGGGCAATGGGTGATCCAACCCTCGGAGCTCACTTTTGTGCAGGAGATTGGCAGCGGGCAGTTCGGATTGGTGCATCTTGGCTACTGGCTCAACAAGGACAAGGTGGCCATCAAAACCATTCAGGAAGGAGCTATGTCAGAAGAGGACTTCATAGAGGAGGCTGAAGTCATGATGTGAGTGGTGCGAACACAAGCATGCACAGATGCCCTGGGGAGCCCGTTCTGTGCTGTGCTCTTTACACAGCACTCTGACGCCGCGTTGTGCCAGCTCCCTGTTCAAATCCAGCAAAGGCTTCCTCCGGCACAGAGAATGAAACCACCCTCTCCCTGTGGTCTGCCAGGCCTGTCACGGTCTGGCCCCGCCCACTCGTGAATCTTATCTCCTGCCCATCTCTCCTCCGGTTCACAACACACCACCCACACTGGCCTCCATTCATCGTCACACATACCAGTTGGCTCCCTGTCATCCTTCCGGTCTAGGCTCCAATGACGCGCTTTTGTTTTTGTTTGGCGGGGGTGCGTTTTGCGGAGACTGAGTTTGGACCATCTCACCCCTGACTTTTTCCTCCAGGAAACTCTCTCACCCCAAACTGGTCCAGCTGTATGGGGTGTGCCTGGAGCAGGCCCCCATCTGCCTCGTGTTTGAGTTCATGGAGCACGGCTGCCTGTCGGATTACCTGCGCAACCAGCGGGGGCTCTTCGCGGCAGAGACCCTGCTGGGCATGTGCCTGGACGTGTGTGAGGGCATGGCCTACCTGGAAGAGGCGTGCGTCATCCACAGAGACCTGGTGAGAGGGTGCGGGGCAGCCGCCCGCAGGCCCAGGAGGCAGGGGCCCTGAATGTAGAGCTCGCGAGACGGGAAACGCGCTAGTCAATAACAAGTCACAGACCGTCGCCTTTCCCTCCCAACCTCCTCTTCCTCTACCCTCTTTGGGATGTCCTAGTGGGAACATGTTTCATGAGGACTGAGGTCTCACATCTCAGCCCCGCTTCTGACTTGAACCCTATGAGATTCAGTCTGCATTCTCCAAAAATGAAACCAACAGCCTCTTTTCACATCTCTGAGGCCTCTTGGCAAATGAAGGAAGCTTTTCAAACACGCTTTTTTTCTCCAAGTGTTATCGCAGGAGCTGCTAGAGTCACACTGGGGTGCTCCTAAAGCTCTCCTCGAAATCTCTGGGGGCTGGGGCCCAGGAATATTTATTTTGACGTGTCCTGCCTGTTGGCACGCTAAAATCTGAGACTCACTGGAGTCTTTGTTGTCACATTCTGCGCCACGTTCTGGCACATCCAGTGCCACATGCTGTGATAGTCATTGGGGACCAGGTACTCTTCCTACTGAGAAACGGTTCTAGGAGGATTAGCAACCTCAAAATACTCCTATTTTAGTCAAATGGGGGACAGTCTCTTCCCAGCAGCCGTAGTGTTAACATTAGTTTTATCACATCAGGTTGCATTAGCTTAGAGCATATCATTGGTTAAACAACACCATGGATTTCTCTTCTTCTTTTTTTTAAGTTTTTAATTTTTATTATTTTTTATTTATTTATTTTTAGAGAGGGAAGGGAGGAAGAAAGAGAGAGAGAGAGGAACATCAATGTGCGGTTGCTGGGGGCCATGGCCTGCAACCCAAGCATGTACCCTGATTGGGAATCGAACCTGCGACACTTGGGTTCGCAGCCCGCGCTCAATCTACTGAGCTATGTCAGCCAGGGATTTCTCTTCTAATCAGGATCCCAGAAAGGAAGATAAAAGACCAACCTTACTCATGCCGATCAAGGATCTCACCTTTCTAGCTAACTACCAGCAGGCCATTGTGAAGCTTAATTAACATTTGTAAAGCTCCTCAGTGCCCTTGTACAACAGCACATAGAAAAACTAAGGACCGTGATTATGAGAGACTCCTTAATTATTGACTATCCACCCTTTTGTTGGTCTGTCTCTTCTCCAGGCTGCCCGAAATTGTTTAGTGGGAGAAAACCAAGTCATCAAGGTGTCGGACTTTGGGATGACAAGGTAATACGGGGAGGTGGTGCCCCCCCCGCAGAGCCTCAAGAATGGGACTCAGGCCCCCAGAACACTCCGACATTCTCTCTCCCAGGTTTGTCCTCGATGATCAATACACCAGCTCCACAGGCACCAAATTCCCGGTGAAGTGGGCTTCCCCGGAAGTCTTCTCCTTCAGTCGCTATAGCAGCAAGTCGGACGTGTGGTCCTTTGGTGAGTGTCGTGCTGGCCCCATACCCACGTGATCTAGGTCCACTCACCCTTGAACTCTGGGTGGTGAGGGAGTTCCACTGGCAGTCCATATGAAGGGGTCCTCATTATTGTACTTATTCTTAAAAATCTTTGGAATGGGAGAGGGTAAAAATGAGAGAGGACACGGGATTCTGGGGACGGCGGCTGTGAGACCAAAAGCTGGAGGAGTCAGGAGACCAGAACGTGAGTTCCTCGAGGGCCAGGACCAATTTCATCCAATATTATATTCCCAGACTTAATCCTCAATAACTGTTTGCTCATTCATTCAACAATTTATAGAGCATCCACTCTATACCAGAGCCTAATCTAGGTGCTCACAAGACAGGATAGGGAAGACTCCTCTCGGAGCTGAAGGTTAGGGGGAGGCAGACCACATAAACAAGCTAATCAACATGTCTGTAACTTCTCAGGTAGTGATAAGTAAGCGCTATGGGTAAAACAAAGTAATGGGACAGAAAGGGATTGGGATGGAGAGAAGGTCTGTCTTAAACTACGTGACCTGGGAAGGCCTCTCCGAGGAAGTGACTTGGGCAGAAATCTGAATGATGACAGGGAGCTGTCTCCATTCAAAGATCCAGGGAACTGCGTCCCTGACACAGGAACCAGCAGGTGGGAAAGCTTGGCATGTCCAAAGAGAAGCGGGTGAACGGCAGGTGACAAGGTTGGCGGGCCATGATCGCAACTTTGAATTCTTATAGGTAAAAATGGCCATGAATAAGAGGAAGGATATTGGTATGGTAGGATGCACTAAATATTCTTGCTGGATTTGTCACGAAACCCTAAGCTAAAGCATGCACAAAAACATAAGAGAGAACCTCTTTGATCTGAGTTATAAGAAGGATCCTACTTCAGGCAGGAACAAGTTGGAGTCTGATTTTGCCATTCTCTATAAAGGGAAGGCTCACCAAGGGCACTGACTGCTAGTTAAAACCAGGAAGAAGCTGACTAATGAAATCTCTTAGGAGAATAACTGCTTTTAAAGTCTTCTCCAGCATTTTAGAGCATCCATTTTCAACAGCCAAGTGATTTGCTAATTCTGAGTCCTTCTGAACTGTTTCTTAAAATGATTCCCCTGTTCAACAGGCCTAGCTATGACTTTGTTAGTCAAATTGAAGCTACAGAATGAACTTGGAAGAAATACAATTTCACTAGAGCACTCTCAGAAGATGCTCCTTCCCCCAGTGTAACTAGAAAGGGTAGGGCTGATGCGTGGCCCTTCTCTATGGGTGGTGCAGCTGATCATGCTTGTGCCCTGCCAGATGTCCCATCAAGAGACGTTTGCAGCCATGGCCACTGTGGCACGTTCTCCCTCCGACTCTGAATGGGGTTTATCCTGCCACAGATTGTCAACCCGGGAATTCACTGCTGCGTCTTATAATTAGAGGGGTCAGCTGAAGTCCATCCCTGCCTAGGACATGTCATCGTGAATGTCCAAAGATGAGACCAGCTAATAGAAGCAGAGTAGAAAGGGGGACAAGCCTGAGAAACAGAATCCTGGGTGGTCCGAGAGCTCTATGCCTGCCTCAGGCCGTTGCCCTTTGTCACACATTCTAAGGCTTTTGGTGTGACAGGTATACTTTGGGCGGAAGAAGAAAAAGGATTAAATCGGGTTATCGAAAATGGACAAGCTACAGATGTATTTTGCTTGGTCTACACAGTATTTTTTAAAATCAAATTGAGTTTATATTTTAAAATTCTCAAGATAAGGCTTCTTTTGACAAATCAGAAAATGTGGTAATCCTGAGCCCTCATTCCCTGGGGCCCTACCTTGCTGGAGCCAAGTTGCAGCTGTCCCACTGAGGCAGAACTTTTGATCTTCAGTTTTCCACGGTCCTCACTAGTCCCTACTATACACCTCATCCACTTCACTTATTTACATCATGTGCAGAGATTTGGGTTTATGATGTCCCTGTAAGTTTTAGCAGTAGCATCTGAGTTAGATATAACAAAGGGCTGAGATTGGCACTTCTTCACCGTTGAGAAGGTTGGGAAATCTCTGTTCTTTAGAAATAGGACAGACCTCATAACCGCCAGGTGGTAGGAACTTGAATCTTAATGTCAAGAAGTCTGTGATTTCTAGAGGTACACTTGTTTGTTTGCTATTTGTAAACATTATCATTAGCTGTGCTGCACTTTCCATTTCTTGTAGGTGTGTTGATGTGGGAAGTCTTCAGCGAAGGCAAAATCCCATACGAAAACCGAAGCAACTCGGAGGTGGTGGAAGACATCACTACTGGATTTCGCTTATACAAGCCCCGCCTGGCCTCCTCGCATATCTACCAGATCATGAATCATTGCTGGAAAGAGGTCAGTAAAGGAAGTGGTTTCCCCTGCATTATCACCTACAGCTTCAGGGTCTGCCGCCTTCCCTGGAGAAAGGAACCCTTTTAAAGGATGAGTCAGCAGGGATGAATAAAATAAATTAACAGGAAAGTGACCTTGAGAGTCTATTAGCTAGAGAGGTTCCCCATCCCTAAAAGATCTGGCAGTGGCCTTAAATATCATTGATTTGCTATATATTGTCACAAGCCATCAGTATATGGTGAGAGAAAAACAGGGGGAAGATATGTCAATGTTTTTTGAGATTAAAATACCATTTGGGTAGCATCGTAAAACTACTGAATATGAAGTTAGCTGTGTAAATTGGGGATTAGAAGTTCACTCGTGCTGTGAAAATGTTAAAATGACGTGGAGTTCATTGTATTCATTTAACAGTTCAGAAAGGGAATCCAAGGACTCCGCATGCTCCCAGAGGTCTCAGCTATCCCACGCTTGGGTTGCAGGCTGGGCCTGGAGCCGCATCAGCGTGAGACTTAGAGACTTAGATGTCCTTTGTGAGCTAGGCAATTGTGAGTTTCCACCCAAGTTGAAAGTTGCTGAAGTCGGCAGTTAATACAAATTCAGATCATCGAAGGGTAAGAAGGTAGAACTGAAAAAGTATCGAATAATTGAGTTTTGTCTCAGCTTTGCCCTGTCTTAGTCATTAATCTCAGACAATTCCCTAAACCTCCTCTTTCTTACTGGCAGAGAATTTAATAATGCTTGATTTGTGAGTTCATAGGTGTAAGTTCATAGATCTTTTGTAACTAGAAACAAACAAACACACCAACAAGGACACAAAACAAATCTATCCACTTCACAAGGATAATTATGATAGCTGGCATTCATTTAACACTTCTTTCTTTTTTTACTTTTTTAAATTTAATTTTATTTTCATTGTTGTTCAAGTACAGTTTTCTATCTTTTACTCCCATCCCATCCCACCCCCCAGCCCTCCCCACCTTCTTCCCATTTCCATCCCTCTTTTTTTAACTTAACAAACTTTACTATTTAGAAGTTCTAGATACGCAGAAGAAAGTGAACAAGTAGTACGGAGTACCCACGTGTCGTCCTCCCCAGCGACTAACACTGTGCGCCAGTGTAGTATGTTGTACGGTCCCATCAGTTTCCACAGGAGTGTAATATGTTTCTACCATTACAGGATCATACAGAATAGTTCTACTGCCTTTAAATGCACCAGGCTTCACCTGTATTTATTCATCCCTTCCCCAGTTCTCCCCAGCCCCCCCACCCCCGCCCGGCAACTCTTGATCTTTTTATTATCCAAGTTCTTCCATTTCTAGAATGTCATATAGTTGGAATCGTATAGTAGGTAGCCTTTTCAGGTTGAATTCTTTCACTTAGCATTATGCGTTTAAGAGTCCTCTGTGTCTTTTTGTGGCTTGATATAGCTCATTTCTTTTTATCACTGAATAACATTCCATTGTACGGATACACCCCAGTTTGTTTACTCATGTACCTACTGAAGGACACCTTGGTGGCTTCCAGTTTTTCGCAATCATGAATAAAGCTGTTATAAACTTTTGGGTTGATGCGGACCATGGCTCGTGGGGTCCGAGTCATTATGGATGAATCATGAGACAAATTCACATGGACTATCAAGTCCTGTGGAGGAAAAGGACGGCATGGCTTTTCTCTCAAGGGGAGCAAAAGCCTTGGCCCTCGCTCCAATGAGCTTTTATTGTCTTCCTGGGCACATTACAAGAAGGTCCTCATTAACTATTCACAGGCTTGCTTTAGGTGGTTACCTTATACAGAAAACAAAGGAGAGGACGCTGGTGATCACAACACAGAAGAGGGATATTTGCAAATGAAAAGGCAAAAGTGGTTGAACCGGTTACACTCATCCTTGGAAGGTTTAGCATGGTTTTTAGGAAGTTGCTTTGCAGTCAATGTCCTCAATTCAGGGTGAGGGAGTTTTAGCAAAAAGCAAGACTCATAGCGGCCTAGTACATTGCAGTCCTGATTCCCCATGGGAGGACCTATCCGTGGGCATGGGTCCTGTGCATCCCCCAGTGGGAGCTGGGCCCACGGCACACAGAATGGGCTCCCACATGGTGTGCAGTTTTTTGTATGGACAGAAGTTTCAGCTCAAACTGGGTAAATATCTAGAAGTGTGATTACTGTATCATATGACAACATTATGTGTAGGTTTGTAAGAAACTACTAGATTGTCTTCCAAAGTGGTTGTACCAGTTTGCATCTCACCAGCAGGGAGAGCTCTTGTTGCCCCACGTCCTCGTCAGCATTTGGTATTGTCAGTGTTCTGGGTTTTAGCCAGGCTGATAGGTGGATAGTGGTATCTCTAGAACAAGCGGTATCTTGTTTTCATTTGCTGTTCCCTAATGACATATGATGTTGAGCATCTTTTCATTATATTCACTTGCTGTTTGCACATCTTCTTTGTCCATTTTCAAGTCAGGTTGTCTTCTTGCTTTTAAGTTTTAAGAGGTCTTTGTATAGTTTGGATGTAATACCTTCATTAGATATATGTTTTAAACTTATTTTCTCCCAGCCAATGGCTTATCTTTCCTTCTCTTAACAGTGCCTTTTACAGGTGGAATTTTTTAATTATAACAAAGTTCAGCATCAATTTTTTTTTCTTTCATGAATCATACTTTTGATATTGTATCGAAAAACTCATTGACAAACCCAAAGTCACCCAGATTTTCTCCTATGTTGTCTTCTCAAATTTTATCAGTTTTTCATCCTATATTTAGGTCTATGATCCTTTTGAGTTAATTTTCGTGAACGGTATAAGGTCTATGTCTAGAATCATTGTATTGCATCTAGAGGTCCAATTGGTCTAGCACCATATTTTAATATTTAAAATCAGCAGAGGGTACTGCTATTGAATTCCAGTGTTCTTTTGAAATTGGCTATGACGCACAAGTACAAGGAACTCAGAGTTCTTTTCTTCCATCTCTAGAAACCAGAAGACCGGCCACCTTTCTCCAGACTTCTGAGTCAGCTGGGTGAAATTGCAGAATCGGGACTTTAGCAGAGACTCGGCAGCAGTTCCTGAGTAGGGGAAGAAATCCTCCCTCCACAGAGCATTAAAAGCCGCCACCAGCCCAGGACTCCCCAGAGGCAGCTGGCTTGCAGTGCCGGTCCCTGGGCTGCCACGGAGGCTGGCGCTCAGCCACAGGCACGAGGCTCAGCCAATGAAGTGAGAGCAGGGCCAGAGCAGCGGCCACGCCTCTCTCTATCCTCCCTCCAGCCTCTTATCTCGGGTGGTGCACAAACCTCAATCTGACAGCTTTCCGGCAACATTTCTTGCACTTCTTCTTAGAGAGAGAGAGACAGGGTAGGGCCCTGGATTGTTATTTTTATTGTTATTTTAAACATGGGTCTAAGGTTAATGGTCAAGGGACTTTTCATTTGACCTGGCAGCAGAACATCCCAGGGGATGGGGCAAGAAGACCAAGGAGCCTGACTCCCTATCAAGGAGGACAGTGAGTTAATTAAGATCTGAAAGAGTAAGCTCCTCCGTTGTGATGCTGTTGGCCGCAGCTTCCGGCCGCAGACGAAGGAGCAGCTGCTCACCTCAGAGGCCGGATATCCTGAGAAGCAGCGTTATGAGGCTTAACTCAGAGCACACTGCCACCTGTCTCCTTGAAGGGAGCATTATGGACTTGGGTGAACAGTTCCAACCCCAGAGTTGGAGCCCTGGGTGTCTGGTGTCTGGGCGGAAAGAGGGCATCTGATGGTAGGGAACCAAGTGGTACAGAGAAAGACGTTAGGTTGTTATCACGCTGATGCTCACCTTTAGCACAAGCCAGGCAGGTGACTACGCCTCCCCCTCTGTACAGAATGCTTCTGCGGGCATCCTAGGAGGAAATGGTTGCTTCTGCACACACACTCTGGCCGAGGACTCCATCATCGTGTCCCCCACCACCCCCACCTCGAGGAATCAGCCCCCTCTCTGCCTTCTCGCATCAACAACAGAGGGCAGCATTGTGTTGAGCAGTGATGTCTTGCAAAGAAATTCAAGCTGGTTTAAGCCATATAGATTTGCAGCTTTAAGGGTGAGACTTTCAGCCTCCCAAAATTCTGGGAGAGAAACCAGGGGTCTGTTGTTGTTCAAACTATCTGGATGGAAACTGAGCCCGTCACTAAGTGGGGTGCTCCTCAGATGCACAGTGTTGGCCACCGTTGATTGAGCTCTGAAATATGCAAAGTGAGTGTGTCCTGAGTTACAAGACTTCTCTGCAGTTTATCCCAAGTTCACACCAACCTTGTGAGTTAGTATTACTATTCCCATTTTACATATTGTAAAAACTGAGGCTTTCAAAAGCCAGGACACCTGCCGAAAGTGGCAGAGCTAGGAATTAAGCCCAGGATTCTAGCTCATCTGTGTCTGACTCCAGTGCACAGTTTCTTTATTCCTATTCAACATGGTCTTTTACCAAGGACAAAAAGAACTGATTGCAGAGAAAATAAACACAGCGGAGGGAAAAGACAGAGAAAGCCAATAAAGACATCGACACAGCACCACAAGGAATTAATGTTGTTCCTGCACAGACCACTGCGGTTGGCAGTGGAGTCCTCCCACCTGGAGTAGGGTCTTCTCTTTCCTCAGCTATAGCCTCCCCTTTGTCAGAGGTAATGAGATTGGACTTCGCTAATTAACCCTTTGATTCACTCAACCTAGCAGAGTCATGTCGTGTGAAGCCATTTAGGTGGGCTTCAAAGCAGCCTGGGAAGATTCTCCTGCGGAAGTATGTAGAAGGCTTTCTTTCCTCCAACTTTGAGCTGGCTGCAGTCTTCTTGGACACTTTGTAGGGCTGGGAATTCCAGGATGTAAGAGAGCGTTAGTTTTCCTGCAGTGTTCAGATGAAACTCAGGGAGGAATTGTTGAATGACGTTTTGACCGGCTGGAGACCCAGGTACATAGCTTTTAACTACAGCTATTGTGAAACTGGAGGCCCCAAGATAAAACTCTGTCATTCAGAAGATGATCTTACATTCAACTTATCCAAAATCATCCCTCTGCACTTGCTGGCATTTTGTACATTCTCTTTTGGCATCCGTAATTAGAGATGATTTCTGGAACATCCAGCCTAGAAGGAAAACATCGGAGCTGACTGATTTCTGCGGTCTGGTTTAGGAGACCCGCCTCGCATGTCATTATCTTGTTCAAGCGCAGGTTCATAGCGGTCTTAGCTGACCTCGTGTAGACAGTTTCGCTCCCGTTGTCCTAGCCTGCAAAATGGGCTTTCTGGCCTGTTTGTTGTTATTGTTTTTTTTTAATCATTTTGAAAATGGTGCCACATATTCACAGGGAATTCCTTTAAACAAGGTTTTGGTTCTTAATGCATTTTATAGTTTTTGCCTTTTGTACCTTTTGAGACTATGTATTTATGTACGCATAGATGGGATATTTATTAGTGTACAGTCATTGCTAGCATTCACAATAAAAACATTATGAATGTCTCTTACCCTTCATCAAGCACACAAAGTTAAAGGTTAGGTCCAGCAAATAAAGCTGCCCATTTTAATAACCATGGTGTGTATGGCCTGGATTTCCTATGTGTCCGAGTGTCAACCACAAATATTCCTTACATAAAAATGGTTACACGGTTTCACGTTCCACAGGCGCGCTTCAACATTTGATCAACAGGTAAACATCAAGTGCTTCCTAGGTTCCTAAGACACCCTGTGCTGACCGCTGCAGAAACAAAGATGAAAAAGGGCAGAGTCTTTTCCTTTAAGAAACTGCAGGTATGACTGGGAAAGGAGACATGTAAATAAGTGAAATTATATATAATACAGCAATTAGAGCAACAACAGAAATACGGTCAAAGAAGAGAAGAGCTCAGAAAAACTGAGGTAATCTCCCTCTTAATTGGGGAAGGTTATGTCACTTGCTACTCAAAGCGTGGTCCCTGCCCCAGCAGCAGCAGCAAGACCAAGACTGTGAGATATGCAAATTAGACAGCTTCACCCTGAGACCCACTGGATAAGATTCTACATTTTAACACGGTCCTCAGGATCCTATCTACACACACGGAAGTCTGGGAAGCACTGTCCTAGAGGAAATGGAATGTGTTGGAAAGCTGTTACCAGCTTACCATTGGTGGAACACGAGGGGGGTGTGTGTGGTCTCCGAGAGGGTGGGTGGGGGTGATAGAAGGGGCAGGCAAATTGAAAGAGGCTATAAGTCTAGGCAAGGACCATGTTACAAAAAAAAGTGGAATTCTACCTATAGATGGAAAAGATGTCATTGAGCAAGGAGATAAGGCCAAATTTGTGTTTAAAAATCTCTTCTGGCCTGGGCTCATGTGGCTCAGTTGGTTGGAGCACTTTCCTGCAGACTGAAAGGTCTTGGGTTGGATTCCCAGTCAGGGCACATGCCCAGGCTGCAGGTTCGATCCCTGATTGGGACACTTACGGAAAGGCTGCCAAATCGTTGCTTCTCTCTCACATCAATGTCTCTGTATTGTCTCTCTCTCCTTTCTTTTCTCTCCCTATAAAAGCAATAAAAATATGTCCCAGGTGAGGATAAAACAATTTTTTAAAACAAGAAAAAATAAAAATGTATTCTGTTAACAGCATGCTGAGTGGATTTGAAAGACGCAAACTGGTGGAAGAGAAACCAATTTTGATATTATTTCCTCCCTGCTCTTAGTACCAGATGATTGTTCACTCTCATTCACTGTTGTCTGCTGTGTGGGTGACATGCAGAAGTTATAATTCAGTCTTAGGTCATAGATGGACAGAATGAATAGATGTTTCCCTCCCTCTCAAAATTCCAAGGAAAGACAAGCTGGGGTATTATTTGGGGGCTGGGGGGGGCACAACGTTGAGCTCTCCCTATACCGTTCAGTTCACCAAATGCCCAGGTCCGCTGCAGGAGCCAGCACGGGACCCAGACGACCGAGGCACAGGTGAGAGAGCCTGCAGCTTCCACGCCGTCCTCTGCGGAGCTCACCTCCGGGCCCAACTCCCGCTGGCAAATGACCCAGACAGGAAACTTCTATATGGGGTTAGATGAACAGATGTGCTTCCCAGGGCACTTACCCTGCAGGCTGTACTCTCTCTGGAATCTTCCAACACTCTGAGGTCACTGCTCTGAGGAAGAGGCAGAATACATTCCATTCAGCAAGATGGGGAGCATGTGTGTGCGCGCATGTGCGGAGGGAGCTGTGGGTTCCCTAGCTAGAGGGGCTTAAGAAGGCGGTCTGATGGTCAGGAAGACAGGGTTGGAGTTGAAGCTGCATTTGCATGAAAGCACATATTTTCAATTAGAGTATGTGTTTATTTGCAGTGGCTTTGAAGGAGGTGTCTGCTCCCCAGAGCCACCCCTAGGTGGCAGCAGTGTGTGTGTGTGTGTGTGTGTGTGTGTGTGTGTGTGTGTGTGTAAACGACTTCCCCATGTCATGGTGTGTAGTTGGCATGGGAAATAACAGAATCATACAGATGCTGTTAGAAAGAGTAATGAGATCCTTCCTTTATTTCATAAGTAGTCACTGTCCACGTGCTATCGCTTGGCACTGTGTTAGGTGCGTGAGATGAATGATGTGAGTTAGGGATCAAACACGTCATACTCAAATCAAGATAGTTCCCACAGGGCTAATTTACAGAAGGGCTCTGTGAAAATAGTGTGGGTCAGGGTCAGGTTTAGGAGAACCACAGGAAGTGGCACAGAGGAAAAGAACAGCCAACGGTCAGTTACCACTCCCAGGCTTGGACAGGCAGCCGGGGCAGTGGTCATTTCAGTGTGGAAGCGGGGGGGTCACTGGAGAAGGTTGCCTCTGGAGAAGAGGACCTTTGGTGGGGGACAGAGGAAGCCCACAGCAGCGTCTCAAGGAGGAAGCAGAAGAACAAATATGCTGGCTCCGCTTTTCTCGCCCCGCCCCCATCAACTGCTGAGGCTCCTTGTTAACCCAACCAATGGGAAGCCAGAGGACACGGAGACCCTGGAAGGGTGGTCCACAGAGGTCAGTCCCCAGGGAGGGCAGCAGAAGGAGGAGAGCCAGATGGTCTGGAGGAACAAGAGACATCAACCCGTCAGTTCCCCAATTCCACGCTCGCAGCCATTCAGCGGGGTGGACTCGAGGGCCGCCTAAGCTAGCCTGAGAATGCAGCAGCACTGGCCCCGTTTCACCTCCGCTATGCTTCGCCATTCCAGATGCATTCGGAATACTCTCAGATCCTCCTTATCAGTTCTTACCCACAATTATTGTAAACAGTATTTGTTGAACTAACAATGAAATGTTCTTCGGTATCAGTTGTGTGTAAAAGAGCTGACCTTCAAGGGAGGCCAGTTCTTGAGAGATTGTGGGAAATGAGCAAAGCGAGGGGAAGACAGCAGAGAAGGGAAGGGGTGCATTTCCAAACGTCCCGGGTGGAGCTGCAATGTGTCAACAGCAAAACATCCCTCCATATTTTATCTATGAAGAAAGAGACCCATAGATGAAGAAGAGAACAGACTGATGGGTGCCAGAGGGGAGGGGACTTGAGGGGCGGGGGCTGGGTGGAAAAGTGAAGGGATTAAGAAGTAAAGATTAGGGGAAGTGGGTGGGAGAGGGTGTACAGGGTGGAGGGGCGTGAAGGGGGGAAATGGGACAACTGTAATAGCATAATCGATAAAATATATTTTTTAAAAAAGAAGTAAAGATTGGCAGTTACAAAATAGTCACGGATGTAATGTACAGCATAGGGAATATAGTCACCAATATTGTAATAACCATGCATGGTCCCGGGGGACCACTCTGTAAAGTACCCGATTGTCTAACCACTATGCCATACACCCGAAACTGATACAAAATAACAGCGAATGTCAACTGCAGTGGAAAAACAAAGTTTAAAAAAACACACTCAATATGTGAAAGCAATACCTTAAAATATTTATTTCATCTATAAAATAATAGGGTGATTCTAAGGATTTTGTGAGGATGAAATGAGCCCAGTCATATATAGTACTTATCAGAGAGGCTAAAAAAATTTTAGTTTTAAATATATTCTTTGACACATTATTTCAGATCCAGTGAAGAAAATGGGCAACACAGTTTCCTATGGGAAGACCAGAGTCTGGGGCCCCTGACCTTGAGCAACCCTTCCCCTTCCTGGGCCCCCGTTCTTTCCTTTGTAAACTGAGGCCATTTTGAGCAAAAGGTCAGGTTTGATCTAACGGACAATGTAAATTGTGTAACTGAACATTAAGTTTCTCTTTTCCTGCTCACTACACGGACCAGATGTGTCAGCCTTCTGGAGCAATATGGAGATTTTTTTTTGGTAGTATTCACATTTTCTCTCCATCTCAAAACCTTTTCCTTCTTTCTTTTAAAATGTGTTACTTATGAAAAACATTTTAAATCAATGCATCTCAGTAACTTGCATTAAACATGTTTTTGGGAAAAGGTGGCATAGTTTTTTTAAAGATTTTTCATTTATTTGGTGGGGGGAAACATCAATGTGCACTTGCCAAGGGCTGGAATAAGGTGGCATATTAATGAATACATGAATTCAGTAGGCAAGGGGGAAATGAGGCTGTGGACGATTTTGGTTAAAAGCATGAGTTTTTGTTTTGCTACCTGGACAACTTATTTAACCTGCCTTAGTTTCTTCAATTATAAACTGGGGCTAATAATTATGTTTTTGTCATAGGAGAACTGTGAATATTAAATGAGGCAATGCACTTGGTAAGCGTTAGCTATTGTTACTAATATCAGTATTTTTTATTTCTCCCTCTGAAACCAATTCCTATGCCCATTACAGATACTCCATCATTGGTTTCCATGAAGTTCGGTCTGCCAACGGATTTTAAATGGAAACCTAGGTGTCCTAAGCAACTTGAGGGTTTTCTAAAAACATAGCAACACTGCCACACACAAAAACACAATGCGTGGGACATAGCTTTGCAAGGGGCAAAGCAACTCTCGCCTGATCACTGCGGTCCTCTCGTGGCTGATGGTGCTGACAGGTTGCACGTGAAGGAAATCTGAACATGGTGGAAAGATGGCTATGAATTTCACTGGCAACATATAAGCTAAGATTTCAGTTCTGATTATTCATTCAACCCACTTTTACTGATCTCCTGTTCTGTACTAACTAGTCTCTGAGGACAGAATGGCAAGCAAGATGGACTCATCCCGTCTCTTAGGTTTAATGTTCTGCTGATGGAATGCAGGTCAGTGCATCCACAGTCACAACTCAGCATAACAAGCAGTATGACAGAAGAAGCCCGGGGGCCTAGAGATAGCTAACCTTAACCTACCCCAGACATGGAGGGATCTTGGGCGAAGTGACACCTATGTACATACGAGAAGGATGGATAGAAGTTGGGCAGCAATATGGGGAAAAGAGTGCAAGGGGGAAGGAAAGGAGGACAGGCCATTCCAAGCACAAAAAGCCCAGCTCGTGCAAAGGTCACAAGAGAGAACACAGAAAGTTTAGGGAACTAAGAGACTCCCTTCATCTGAAGCACAGTGAGCTTGTTCATGGGAGAGAGCACAGATCAGGTCCTGAAGCCCCTCGCAGGCCATGGGGAGGAGTTTGGG